ATCTGAAACTAACTCTAAACAAACTAACTAACTCACAACAAACTAGCTAACCACCACAACTAATTACACTAGGTTTACAGATCTGTGATGGTGTAGGTCTAACAGACAAAGACAACTGTCCATGAGAGCTATGAGCAGATGATGATGAAACCTGAGTGCTGTGAGCAGAGGACTGAATGTAGTGAGCCAAGGATGATACTTCTTCAGCCCCCCTCAAGCGGATAGGGGAAGAAACCACTAACAGCTTGTCACGAAGATAATGAAATCTGGAAGGCGAAAGAGGCTTTGTGAAAATATCAGCGACCGATCCATGGTAGGAATATACTTAAGTGCAATCTGATTGGCAACCACTTTTTCCCGAATAAAATGACAATCGATTTCTATATGTTTAGACCGTGAATGGAAAACAAGGTTGGATGCTAAGGCCATGGCAGATAAACTATCACACCATATGACAGGAACAGTAGAAGATGAGACACAGAAGTCCTTAAGCAATTGTTGAATCCAAGTGAGCTCAGCTGTGGCATGAGCTAAGGCTCTATACTCAGCTTCAGCGGATGATCTAGAAACAGTTGCTTGCTTTTTAGCGGACCATGAAATCAAGTTTGAGCCGAGATATACACAATAGCCAGAGGTTGATTTTCGATCAAGACTATCACTGGCCCAGTTCGAGTCGGAGAAGGCAGAAAGAGCAAATGAACTTGGGGTGAACAAGAGACCATAATGTAGAGTCCCTTTAACATATCTAAGGAGCCTTTTAACAGCTTGAAAATGAGCATTAGTAGGGAGAGACATAAACTGACATGCTTGATTAACAGCATAGGAGAGATCAGGTCTGGTAATAGTCAAATATTGCAGGCCACCAACCAAACTTCGATATAGTGAGGGCTGAGCAAATGGCAGAGAATCAGGTGTAGAACACACAGCTTTAACAACCATAGGAGAGGAACATGGTTTGCAGTCGGCCATTCCAGCTTTGTGCAATAATGCAGCAGCATATTTAGCTTGAGATAAGAAGGAACCATGCTCATCAGACGTAACTGAAATGCCCAGAAAATAAGACAAAGAACCAAGGTCTTTCATGGAAAATGACTGGTGCATGTGTTGAAGAAGTAGATCAATGAAAGCAGAATCATCACCAGTTAATAAGATATCATCAACATACACCAAGAGCAGAGTGAGACTTGTAGAAGTTTTCTGATAAAAAGAGGGGCATCAGACAGACTGTTGGTGAATCCTTGAGAAAGTAAGAAAGTTGAAAAAGTGGAGTACCAAGCCCTAGGGGCTTGTTTGAGACCATACAAGGCCCTCTTGAGTTTGCAAACATGAGTAGAAGATTGTTCAAACCCTGGAGGCTGCAGCATATAGACCTCTTCTTGAAGAGTACCATGAAGAAATGCATTGGAGATGTCAAGCTGTTTGATAGACCATTGAGATGGAAGAACAACACTTAAAAAGATTCGAATAGTGGGTTGTTTAGCCACGGGACTAAAAGTCTCATGGAAATCAATACCCTCTTGTTGTAAAAATCCCTTGGCCACCAATCTAGCTTTATAACGAGCAATAGTACCATTGGAATCTCTTTTAATGCGAAAAACCCATTTGCACCCAATGGCAATTTTATGAGAAGGAAGAGGAACAAGGTCCCAAGTGCCTTGTTGTTGAAGAGCTTGATATTCTTCCTGCATGGCTTGAAACCACACAGGAGAGTGAAGAGCATCATGAACAGATGTAGGTTCAGTTTCAAGAAGAGAAACTTTAGCAGAAAAACAGTGAGGAAGTTTATGTTTAGATCTAGTAATCATGGGATGTATGTTAGACACGGAGGAAGGAAGAGAAGGAGGAGGTAAATCAATAGTAATGGAGGAAATAGGTATAGGCTGAGGAAGAGGAGGAGTAGGAGGAGTAGACTCAGATCTGGAAGAGGGCTCAGAAGGAGTAGGAGATGAAACAGATGAAGAAGGAGACTGAGTAGGAGTAGCAGATGAAGAACTGAGTGAAGAAGGCCAGAAAAAGGATGTAAGAGTAGATAAATCTGAAGATGAAGAAGATGAAACTGAGGACTGTTGCTGAGAGAAAGGAAAACATGATTCATTAAAAATGACATGCCTAGAAATGTAGATTTTTCCAGAAAGAGGCTCAAGACATCTATATCCCTTAATAGTAGGATGGTATCCTAAGAAAACACAAGACATGGATTTTGGTGCCAGCTTGTGAGAAGCATAAGGCTTTAACCAATGGAAGCACTGGCAACCAAACACTTTGAAGAGAGAAAAATCAGGTATGCTATGAAACAACATTTCAAAAGGTGTCTTGTGATGTAAAATACTAGAAGGCATTCTGTTAATGAGAAATGTGGCTGTGGCAATAGAATCAAACCAAAAATTAATTGGAACAGATGAGTGATGAAGCAATGCGATGGTAGTTTCAATAATGTGTCTGTGTTTGCGTTCAGCTATGCCATTTTGAGCTTGAGTATAGAGACAACTACGTTGATGAATAATGCCATGAGAAGACAACAAAGTATCAATTCTTTTATTGACAAATTCAGTGCCACAATCAGTCCTAAGTATTTTAAGAGAAGTCTGAAATTGAGTATCAATATATGCTTTGAATACAAGCAATTTATCATACACCTCACTCTTGTAGTTCAAAGGATACACCCAAGTAAATCTACTGTAATCATCCACAAACAAAACATAGAAACGAAATGGAGCATTATCTACTGTAAAGGGACCCCATACATCACTATGAACTAAGGCAAAAGGACAATTGACAGAAGCATTAGACAATGTGAAAGGAAGTCTATGAGATTTAGACACATTACAATCAAGGCAAGACAAGGCCTTATTAAAAGACAATTTATTTGGTAAAACACCAGCCAGATGCTGAAGCTTTAAAGAGGATGGATGGCCTAATCTTTGATGCCAAAGCAAATCAGACACAGGTGCTGAAGTGCTTGACTGAAACACAGATCCTGGAGTGCTATCAGACACAGGGGCTGAAGTAGTTGACTGAAGCACAGGTGCTGAAGTGCTAGATTGAAAAACTTGAGGAGAAGAACATTGTTCAGACGAAGGAATGAACTAGTAAATACCATTGATATTAACACCTCTATGCAGAATCTTGTTCGTGCATTTGTCCTGAATGACAAAAGTGTTAGCATCAAAAATAACAAGACAGTTGAGCTCTTTGGTGAGTTGATGCACAGATAAAAGATTTGAAGAAATGGCAGGAACATAAAGAAGATTTGAGAGAGGAAAAGAAAACTGTGGAGTTGGCAAGATACCTTTACCTATATGACTGATTTGTAAGGAAGAGCCATTACCAACTTGAACATGATCCTGACCTTGATAAGGCTGAAATTGTTGCAGATTAGTCAAGTCATTGGTCAGATGATTGGTAGCTGCAGAGTCAACATACCAAGGAGGTATGGGAGGATCAGAAGAAGACTGAGGAACTGAAACAGCATAGGACTGAGGAACTGAAGCAGCATAAGCCTTTGACTGAGACAGAGAAGACTGAGAGGAAGTGCTGCTAGAGAAAGGCTGAAAATTAGGATCCAGTCGATGCCAGCAGTCAAAAGCATTATGATTCCAACCTCCACAAATCTGACATCCAGAGTTAGAAGAAAAAGCTCCTCTGGATCTATTATTATTATGATTATTGTTGTATCTATTATTGAATCTGCCACCTCGAAAAGTATTATATCTGCCTCTGAAACCACGATAAGAACCTCTACCTCTTGCAGAGTGAAAACCTCTATTAACAAAATTTGACGAATCATAACCTGATGAAGATGATCCTCGTGAGGCAGAGTAGGCAACATTAAGATCAGTGCCAGTAGACTGTTTAAGTTTCTGTTCAATATGAATGAATTCGGAACATAACAATGAACACAAATGTTCCATTTTGACAAGCTCAGACCGAGTACGAATAGAAGTTTTGAAAGTGTCATATTCCTCTGGTAGACCATTCAAAGTTAGGAAAACCAGATCTTCATCATCAACTTTTGCAGAAGCTAGAGCAAGCTGTGCTGCAAGATCTTTGATTTGAGATAGATATACCTCCATTGAAGATGATTTCTTACGAAGAGTTTGAAGTTTGGTTTTTAGTTGATGTATATGAGAGCGTGAAACTGAAGTAAACTGCTTCTCTAAGAATTGCCATACCTGATCACTTTGAGTCAGATGAAGAACAGAGGAATAAATGAATGAAGATAGAGTTGCAGTAAGACAAGTGAGCAAATGTGCATCAATCAATTGCCATTGCACATAACTTGGATTTGAAACAGTTTTTCCAGATTCATCAATGAGTTCTGAAGATGGACATAGATGAGATCCATTAACATGATCAAGAAATCCAGATGCTTTAAGCACATTTGTCATCTGAGATTTCCATATGAGGAAATTGTTGGATTCGAGCTTCACTGTAATGAGAGATTTGAAATTGGAAATCAGTAAACTGAGATTTGGTGGGAGAGACGAATCAGCCATTGAAGACTTGTGGATCTTGCTCACGAGAGCTTAAAGCTCTGATACCATATTGAGATTCTTTGAACTTATTATATTTTCATTATTTTAAATCTGTTGGTTACATTGGTTTATATACTGTATCTAAATCATACAAAATATCTAATCTGAAACTAACTCTAAACAAACTAACTAACTCATAACAAACTAGCTAACCACCACAACTAATTCCACTAGGTTTACAGATCTGTGATGGTGCAGGTCTAACAGACAAAGACAGCTGTCCATGAGAGCTATGAGCAGATGATGATGAAACCTGAGTGCTGTGAGCAGAGGACTGAATGTAGTGAGCCGAGGATGATACTTCTTCACATTTGTTCTTGAATATCCAAATTGGAGTTGACACAATTTAAGAACGAGTTAGGTTAGAGGATCAAATCAAAATACTTTTTATACATTAGGGATTAAATTGCGACAAGTTAATAAAAACCAAAATGGCAAAACTTTAAATACTTTTAAGTACTGAAAAGGTAATTAATCCTTTAATACTAATAAAAGAAGAAATACAAGAGTTTCACTAGAACCAACCAAACTAAGAGAACAAAAGAAAAACCCACAAAATACATATAACAGGAAGACACATACAAACTTAACATAAAACACCATAGATATGCATACAACATAAAACCATATAGTTGAAACAGGCTCCAGCTTGCGGCTTGCACATGGAGTGCCAACAAACTTATCCAGAATCTATCCTTCTTGAACATAAAACTTCATTAGCTATCATCATCCTTGAACGAGCAAGAGAGTACGCACCATGAAGATTATTGCGACGAAAGAGAGAGATGTAACAACAATACAAACTCTGGGACAGAAAGCAAAAAAATCAAAAGAACTAGATTTAAGTTTGCTGAAAAAATCGAAAGAATTAATGAAAAATTCACATGTAATACAGAGTACGAGTGCACCAAGGATCCTCTAGAGTGTTTTTTTCTTAAAGTTTCCTAAAGTGGTGTATTGTGTGGTTGAGATTTAATGTTGAAAAATTGATGTGACTGGTCATTAAATCTCAACCACACAATGCACCACTCTAGAAAACTTTAGGAAAAAAAAACTCTAGAGGATCCTTACTCGTACTAGTGAGTCAACAACAAATATTGAGTGCAATAAAAAATGTAAAACGAAAATTGGATAGACACCTCTTGCCTACAACTCATCCAATCAATGAATGAGAGATTTCGACCTTATTATAGATGATATTGCCACATGTTATCACTACTATACTAGTAAATGTGTGTTTGATTGGACGGACCGGATAAAGGGATTAAAATCTATCGGACTTGAATTCTAAGACTGTGAATTTCCCGAACTATTTGATGGATTGGATATGTATCCCGTGTTTGTTTTTTCATAGGATTAGATATCTGAAAATGACTATTTTTAGTAAATCCAATGTTTGGTTGGACGGATTGAATAATGATAAATGAACAAAAGAATATTTTACACTTTTTCAATTGTTTACTAAGTAATAACAAGATTAAACATATCTTTAATATTTCAATTATTTTTAGCTAGATTAAATAAAATTTATTTTATTTTTTACACAATTAAATAAATTTTTTTTAAAAAAATTAAATAAATAAAATATCAATAAATATATATTTTTTTTAATAAATAAATTTATTTAAAAATAATAAAAATAAAATAATGAAATTAAATAAAACATCTATTAGAATTTAAATAAAATATAAACAAAATTTTAAAATAAAACATCAATAAAATATCTATGAAAATTTATTTTAAAAAATTAAATAAATAAAACATCGATAAAAAGTTAAATAAAATTATTTTATTTTTAAATTGAGACATTTAAATTTTATTGAATTTTACTAAATATAATACATAATTAAATAGTAGGGGGTCAAAATGGTTATTTTACCACCTAATCCTATGGGTTGTTATCCCATAAAAATTATCCCACACCCCCGGATAGTGTAATCCCACATATGTAGATAAGGAGTCTAGCCGAACTCTATGTTCGGCAGACAAAAAACAAACAAATACCGGATAAAAGACTTTCAATAGATTATAATCTAAATTGTGTTTAGTCCCCGAATCAAACGCACCCTAAGTGTGTAAGCCATCATGGATGTGCGTATATATATGCCCACACCTATGCTATATAATTTATTCCATTTTAAAGGAAAATATGAGAGACCCACACAAAATAGGCAGACAAGTTAACATAGTAGGTGTTTGAGAAGTGAGTTTTTATGTAAGTTTTTTTAGTTGTAGAATATTATTGAAGAAAATTTTTTTGGTGTTTGGAAAGATAGTTGTGTTCTTTTGTGATTGGATGTAATGTTTGTGAGAGAAAAAGTGAAATGATTATGGGATTTGATGTGATATTTTGTTTGGATTTTTTTTTCTTTTATTTTGCAAAAAAATTGCCTTTTAGTGAAAAAAAAAAAAAAATCCAAACTCAAAAGTTGCCAAATACCGCTATAATAAAGAAAAAGAAGAGAAAAGCATCATAGAAGATTTCTTGGGACAACTCAAACTTAATATTGTGCATAAAGATAATTGGGTGAGATAAACATTCACCTTGGATACAGTTAATTCCGATCAGCATAACAGTCCAGAAGCATTAGCTATGGGGGACCTTGTAGCTCAAAATGGCTATGATTGTCTGTATCGCCGTTAGCGCCAGCAGAACAGAGGCTGAGACGACTGACATAGTTGACCACGGACTGCTAAAATATGTGCGCCTCAAAGTTGCCCAGTTGCTGCTATAGTAGGCCTCCACTTGTGTGAATTCGTTTTTTAGGTAACACTCTCTAATGTTGAACACAACATGCTTTCCCAATTTCTTGAAAAGATTGGCAACATGGTTATCATTGTAGGAGAAATTTGAGATAATTCCGTCATCACAAAGTAATGTAACGTCTCTACTTGAGTCGAGGAGACAACTCATGAAGGCAATATATTCAGAAAAGTATTTCCGGGTAGGCCGTGGGTAGCATTGTTCGAATGCAACACAGTTAATTAGGATAGTGCTGGTGAAATCATTGATGATCATGGGTGGGATTTCTAGCACCCCTTTGTGGAAATTTATGTGCAAGAAATTACCACGACTGCCTTTTTGTGGCCTAAACTTGACCCCAGCATGCCGGAGTCGTGTCACACATGGTATTGACTGTTCAGATAATGGACGATACCTTGGTAATTCATGTGATCTTCTTCTGTAGAGGTTGGTTAAATAGCTGAGGTAGCTTAAGCGGGGGAGCCATCTTCTTTTGACGGTGAGGCTTAAGTTGGGGAATGATCGTTTTGGCAAGCAGTAGCTACGGTAAAACAAGTCGAGTAGATGACGGGTTACTAGAAGATCGGGAAGTTGCCCTGCATCCTGGAATGATTCAAGGGACCTCGGCAGGGCATGATTAAAAAAATTTATGGCTTGCATATGCAACCCCAAGGCTTTCCACTTGACAAAAATATATTTGGCGCCAGTGACCTTGTGAATGGAATTTTTGTATAAATCCAAAAGAACGAAGAAGGGAAGCTGGTTTTCAAGCTTCAAGAGGTCTCCACTGAGAATCGGAATTAACCATGGCTTCATTAACACTAGGCTATTGTTATTCGCAGAATCATCACTCCCGCAAACTTGTTGGAAGAGCTCAATGATAAAGCAACCATCAAGTAGCAACATCTGAATGAAATCATCACTTGACATATCAATTGCCTCTGAGTATTGTCTTCTTGCCTCCTCCTCTAATTCTTTCGTGGCTCGCGTCATGCTCCGTAAAGAACTCTGCGGTTGTCCTGTTCGAGAAAGTAGGGAATCAAGAAACTGCCATTTGTAACTTTGGAATTCAAGATCTTTGTCGCGGTGATAAGGGCCTATCGACACCATTTCTGGCTCCGTGGCCCTGCTGCTGATTCTTTTAACGTTTTGAGGGACTCTGCCTATGGAAATGGTCTCCCTTTCTGTTTTGCTTTGACTTCCTTCTCTTCTATTTTCTTCCAAGCGCTCCTGTATGAGATTGAAAGTATTGTTAATGGATTCCTCTACAGTAATGGCTTGATGCTGTCCAATCTCCATTTTTTTTTTCTCACTCTCTGGCTCTTTCTTCCCCTTGCACTATTTCACTTGTGTAAGCTGAAGGTGGAGTGACCCTTTCTCATGTTCAGAGCTCAACCAGAAAAGCTGCTTAAATAAACATTATTGGGGTGCTTTGGCAACAACATAAAAAGCGAGTTTTTAATTTTTTATTCATTTTGGGCATATCACCTCACATTTTTTATCCACAAAAAGACAAGATAGACTAAAACAAATCAGAAAATCAATGTTTTACCAACTTCTCAACACACCACATTGTGTCCTTCTTGGGAGGTGCAAGTCCTTGAAAAGTATACTTGCTATTCACTAGTGCTATGTTTGGTTAGGGATTTGAGGAAAGATTTGGAAAGAAAAATAAAAAATGTAGGTGAAATATGAATAAAATATATCTAAATTTCACCTAATTTCACATATTTTTTCTCTTTCATTTTTCTAAATCCCTCTCCAAATTCCTCAATCAAACACAGGAAACCGCAAGGAAGGTTCCAGGCAAATAAAGTAGTGTACAACAACTAATCAAATTTCCCTGATCCTACTTCTGACGCGATTTCTTTTTTCGGTACATCGGAAAAGAGGAAATCATATTCAGATGCGGTTTCTATCAATTATATGTTGCAATGAATAATTTTACCAGCAGCAGTAACATGGATATCAAGAGGTTATTTGGTGATTTACGAGAGTAATTCTCCAAAATATTGTGGGTTTGTCTGGTTTGTATTTGTAGAGTAATTTTTGAAATAAAAAGTACGAAAAATTGTGTGTTTGGTTTGATTTTTTTGAATTAAATTTTTTTAAAATTAAGTTTTTTGGTTTTCGTATTTTTTTGTTTTTAATGAATATTTTTTAAATTTTAAACATTTTTTTTTTTTTACTTTTTAGATGCACCTTACTTAGATTATCTTAATTACTACTGGATTATGAATGATGAAGGATTTCCTATTTTTGATGAAGAAATAGGTTCCACTATACCTGATGGTATTAATACCTTAATATATACCATAGTCAAACATTTTATTGGAACACCTACTAATATTCATTCTCGAATTTATGATCAACTTAGTAACTTAACATGTCCTACTTTAAGTGATTTTAGATGATGCAAAGATGTTTTCACTTCTCGAGTCATGCTTAGAGATGATTGCACTAAGTCATTCTGGAAAGAAAAATTTATTAATGGACTACCTAGTCTTTTTGCTCATAAGATTAGATATGTTCTTAGTCAACCTTCTAGTATTATTAAATATGATAACTTAACTTACGGTGATATTATTAACACGATTCAAAAAGAAGGTTTACAAATGTGTATTGATTTAAAACTTAGTCAAAAAGTTGCTAAAGAAAAACACAAAGCTAAATACGAATTAGGAAACTTTTGTGAACAATATGGTTTACCACTTGTAGCTCCCTCAAGACAAAAAACTGGTAAACACAAAAATAAAAAATCTTCCTATAAATATTCCAATAAAGGAAAAAAGAAAAATTATCCTTCTAAATCAACAGATAAATATTACACTAACCCCAAAAAGAAATATTCTAAGGAAACCAAAAAAGAGTCAAAGCCAACTCATGATGTTGCCTGTTATAATTGTAGAAAAAATGGTCAGTACTCTAACAAATGTAAGGTCAAAGAAAAACTTAAAACTAAACTTACCAATTACAAATTATTGAGGAAAATCAACAACAAATATTTGACATATTCAAACTCAATAATTCTCCTCAACAATCTCCTGCTCAATCTAGTAATTCTTCTGAAAATGATATTCCTTCTAGTTCTACGTCTACTTATTATTCTCATACTGATAGTACAGATAATGACATTGAACTTGGATGTAATAATACTTGTTGTAAAACAATTAATTTCCTTAGTAAATCTCAACAGGAAGAGACTGCTCTTATTGAATTAATTGCTAAATTAAAAAATCCAGACTTAAAACGACAATATACTAACAAGTTAAAATTCTTATTAACAAATAAAGACAAGAAACCTAAATATGATAAACCAATTATTAGTCTAAACAAAACTCTAGACCGATTTAAAAAAGAAAAACATAAAGCCATTACTTTGCAAGATTTACGAAATGAAATTAATCACATCAAAACAACTATTCAAGAATTAAAAACTAAAGATAAATCCTTAGAAGAAGCACTACAACAAAAAGCATTTTCTGCGACGTTTTTTAGCAACAAAATTGAATTTGGTTGCCAATTGTATTTTTTTAGCGACAATATACGTGTTGGTCGCCAAAAAATACACCATTAGCAACAAATATTTCAATTCGTCGCGAAAAATGGTTGGCGCGAATTTAATTTTTCGCGCGGGAGCGCTAAAAACGTTTTGGCGACGAAATTAATATATGGCGACGAAACTGTTTGTCGCCAATTTTCGACTTTTTGGCGACAGAATTAAACTAGTCGCTGAAAGGTGAGTGCTATTTATGGCAACAAAATTATTTTCGTCGCCAATAAATTTATTATCAAAACGACGTCGTTTTGAATCTTTCTTTCTTTTTTTTTTTTTTTTTATAAGTGAATAAACAAAACTGACCTAAAAGAGACTTCTTCATCTTCTCATTTCAGAATCTGCAGCGGCACAAACAGAGGCGGCAAACAGGTATTTTTCTCTCCCTCTTCTTCGTCTTTCTTTCCCTCTCCCTCTCCCTCTCACTCTCACTCTCACTCACTCACACTGTGAGAGTTTCGGACTGATTTTGTGAGTTTCGGACTGATATTGTGATTTTCAGGATTGATCTATTCTAATTTTTGGACTGATTTTGAAACTAATTTTCGGGACTGGTATGTTCGGAATTTTTGGACTGATTTTTGTAAGAAACAAAATCTAGAGCTTTTTCAAGAGATGCAAGGATGGTTTATATAAGACTTTATAGAGAATTTATGGTGTCTGTCTCTGTTCTTGTGATTGATTTTGGAGCTGTGAGAATTTTGGTGTCTGTCTCTGTGTCTGTTCTTTTTTATTTTTTATTTTTTTTATTTCTTGGTGATGTATTATATAGCATTAGAAGGCAAAAAGGTAAATGGATGTTACCAAGAAAACAGAGATCAAACTTAAGCTCGTTTGTTTAAGTGAAAGTTATTTTTTATTTTCTGTATTTTCTATAGTTTTTTATGAAGGAAAACAAAAGTTAACAAAAAAATATATTTTTTATAGTCAATGAAAAAGAATTTGTTTGGGTGAAAAATATTTTTCATTGTTAAAAAGTGAAAAAATATTGTTTGGATTAATATTTACCACCGCTGTCAGTGTGTCGATGAGGCCCATCGATTGTGAGCACACAGCATGACATGGCATTAAGAAGCATATGTTAATGGGATATTCAAGAGCATTGGCTGAGATCATCTTTGCCATTGGTTTAGATGGAGTATGCAAAATATGACTCTTGTTTTGTTTTGTTGGGTATGTGAATGAACCAGGGAACTTGCATTTTTTTTGTATTTTTATTCAAGTGGTGTGTCATGAGGGTGGACCACAGTTTTGTGTTGAATATTCTTACAAGTTACAACTATTCATTGCCCAAAAAATTATAGATATTTTGTGTATCGGTGACCCTTTTAATAATTTCATCATATAACATTCATTTCATGTCCACTCTCCATTAATTTCATGTACAGTGCGATTTTAATTTAAACTTTGATTTACAATTCAAATGTTATAGGTTATTGGCTAATGCGAAGAGATAAAAAAGCTGCAATCATTCGTTGGGGGCAATTACTACATCAAGTAAGCTTTGACTATATTTTAGGGCATTTTAAATTTATTTATCAAGTTAGTCATTTTAGTTTCTACACCTATGATCTTGAAACTATATAACCTTATTAAATTTAATAAGTCTAGTTGTCAAAAAAAATGGGACTAGATACGTCATTTAGACAAGTCAGGGGTCAGACTCGAGGGAAGAGCATAGCACGTCTCATAGCTAACAATGGTGGTAACAAACTTCATCAGAGGAATCTTATTGACAAACACTTTTGTAAGTATATTTTTCATAATTTACTTTTCAAATCACTACAAGCATTTCATTTAATATGTTTGGTTGTGTTGAACAAACGGGACCTCGATTGGATCTCCGGTTAGAAAATTAGAAGGAAAATTGTAAAACACAAGACTTAAAAGGCCCGTTAGGGGGCCAAAATTGCGAAATGACCATCGGAACCACCAAAACTTGGCATGGACGGATTTTTCAAGCCTAAATAGACTTGTAGGAACAAATTGGTGATTTACGAGAGTAATTCTCCAAAATATTGTGGGTTTGTCTGGTTTGTATTTGTAGAGTAATTTTTGAAATAAAAAGTACGAAAACTTATGTGTTTGGTTTGATTTTTTTGAGTTAAGTTTTTTAAAAATTAAGTTTTTTGGTTTTCGTATTTTTTTGTTTTTAGTGAATATTTTTTAAATTTTAAACATTTTTTTGTTTACTTTTTAGAGGCATCTTACTTAGATTATCTTAATTACTACTCGATTATGAATGATGAAAGATTTCCTATTTTTGATGATGAAATAAGTTCCACTATACCTGATGGTATTAATACCTTAATATATACCATAGTCAAATATTTTATTGGAACATCTACTAATATCCATTCTCGAGTTCATGATCAACTTAGTAACTTAACTTGTCCTACTTTAAGTGATTTTAGATGGTACAAAGATGTTTTCACTTCTCGAGTCATGCTTAGAGATGATTGCACTAAGTCATTTTGGAAAGAAAAATTTATTAATGGACTACCTAGTCTTTTTGCTCATAAGATTAGAGATGTTCTTAGTCAACCTTCTGGTATTATTAAATATGATAACTTAACTTATGGTAATATTATTAGCACAATTCAAAAAGAAGGTTTACAAATGTGTATTGATTTAAAACTTAGTCAAAAAGTTGCTAAAACAAAACACAAAGCTAAATACGAATTAGGAAACTTTTGTGAACAATATGGTTTACAACTTGTAGCTCCCTCAAGACGAAAAACTAGTAAACACAAAAATAAAAAATCTTCCTATAAATATTCCAATAAAGGAAAAAAGAAAAATTATCCTTCTAAATCAACAGATAAATATTACACTAACCGCAAAAAGCAATATTCTAAGAAA